TCTAAGCAGACTTGAGAGCATATCGGGGGGGTGATTCATCCGCTACTGCAAAGGGAATGTGGGCAGGTTCACTGAACCCTTCATTTGAACAAATATGGTAAGTCTATTTTAAGAATGCAGGTGAAGCTTTAAAATCTCATTACAAACTCAATGTTTATGCAGTTTGCTTAGTCCATGGAGAGCCCAGTTTGATCACTCAGGAGTCAATTAAAACCATTTAAAACCTGCTTTCTATTCTTAAAAACAAATACAAAAGAACATTTCATTGGAACAGAAGTGGATTCGCTCTTGAGGGGAAAGTAAATCTTACCATAATTATACAAGCAACACACAAATTTATTAACAAATGAGAATACAGTCCCATACAAGCTGGTGCTTTAAACAAATCCATAACAACAACATGTCCTTTAGTCATAACATGGGTTGCAAAGGGTTGAGACATTTCAGGAAACTTTTCACGGGAAGTTAAGCAGGGTTTTTTTTTGCACAATTGTGTGATAGAAAAAGTAGAAATAGACATAACAAGCTTTACTGGGGTTTTATGCTGTTTCATTGAATTGTAAGCAGTGCTTTCAGCAGATGAAATTAAAGCGCTTCAGTCTGTGCAGGACTTAAGCGTGTACATGTTTCAGGAGCTAAACATCCATTTAGACAGCTGCAGCTGATTCTGCTGACCAGGAGAGTAACACCGGCTTCCCGTTTCTCAAATAATTCAAGTTAAATACTAGCGTTAGTTCTTAAAGTACGGGAATACACTCATGAGCTGCTGCTGTTCGGTCATGAATCGTCAAGGTCCACTTTGACTAAATATTTTGCGCAGTTTAGCCGTGGATAAGAGTCTTTGGAACCTTGTCTGGAGTAACAACTATTCTACGAAAGAGTAATGGTTTGTATACAGTTGTGAGACAGAGGCCTATAGCATGTATACGTCCTTTAGGGGCGTTTTTAGGAGTTCTTTGGTGACAAAGAGAACCCTGGCAAAGGTGAACACACACTGGAAATCCGCTCGACTTCCCCATGGCTGTTAACAACATCTTTTGAGATTAAAAAAAAACAACAAGGTTGCGCATCACATCAAAAGTTCGTACAACATAGTGTTACAAAGCTGATTCTCCGCTCCATCCATGTAGTTGCTTCATTGCAATTTGACACAATGATTTTGGGAAAGTCGTTGCGGGCACCAACTTTTCTTTTTCTCCCACTTGTCAACAATAAAGTCAATAAATAGTCTGAACATGTCGTCCCATTAGTGACACTAGAGAACTAGCTGGCAGAGCCAACGGTCTGCAGGTCCAGGGCATACTTGGTAATGCATGGAATATACATAGTGCACTTAAGTTATACTTGTAACGCCACTCATCTATAGCAAATTGTAAATTAGCTTATTTGAGGAAATTGCACTTTCTTGTTTCTTGCTCTTCTGAGTTTGTACCCTATGGTTGAATGCACTTATTGTAAGTCGCTTTGGATAAAAGCATCAGCTAATGTGATGCATTACATGTAATGTAATGAATACATAAAACATGGTTAGACCATTTTTAATCAGTTTCCTGATAATAACAATGGTTCCCACCATGTCACGTGAGGCTGTGTGTTTGTGGAGAGATGGAAAGGTCAATATCGACAGCCTGAAGGACCATTAATGTCTCTTCAGTAAACTGTTCGATTCCTTCAATATGGCCTCAAAACACCTGGATGAAAACACACTCGATCAAATACACACACACACACACTCACAGGTTCACGTAAAGCCAACTAATAGAAAACAGCACTCAGCCTGATCCGCATCAAACACACAGCGGCCCACAGATGCCCTCTGCAAGCCAAAAGTCAAATATTTGCAAAGCGCAAATGAATGCTGTTTTTTGTTTTCTTTTTTAATATGAAAGATTAGCAATAATGTAGAGAGGGATCCTGCCGTAAGCCAAACGCCATCAACCAATTTAATAAAATCAGCTGGAGATGCAATAACGCCATCAGCCAATAGTGTAACTATAAGAACTATATACTTTTAGGCTAAGACCGGTCCTTTAGATTACTATTTGTCCAAAACAATAATAAAGTGAAACTTTAATCATGAAAACCTCCTTCCATTTACTTTCCTCCTCTCCCTTCTCAAAAGCCTTTCAGTTGTGTGTGTGACCATTTGTTTGTAGAAGGTTGAGTGCGTTTGTCATTGGTACGAGTTTGGCATGTAAGTACTGTGTAAGCACAACTGTATCTATGTGTCCCATTTTCTGTGTGTGGAAGTCTCTCAGCCAAAATGGACCAGCAGTATTTTCTTGCACAGGGAGATGCTCCCTACAACTTAATCTGCTTCGTCTTGCCATTCATCAGTTGACAAATCCTTTCAATATAGTCTACCTGGCCTCGCTCGCTCATCGTTTTAGAGGAATTACAACGTCTGGGGAGAGATGGCGGGATGGGAGGAGAGTGGCAGATTAGAGAGCGAGGCGAGGTGAAGTAAGGCAGAGCGAGGATGGAAGTAGAACAGCACAGATACGGCTCGTATGATTCAATATGATCCGCCCGGTTCAAGTGATTCACTGTTGGAGGACAGAGAGGGGGAATGAAAGGATTTAAAGCACAGGAGGGAGGAGGGAGGAGGAAGAGGTGTGGAGGTAGAGCGCGAGGGAGCACACAAGACACAGTCAACGGCCATTTACACAACATCTAAAGAGGCCATCAGCGCAGGCAATTTGGTTGAGTGGCTACAAAATAGCAATCTGGCCGGGTAAAATGAAGAAAATGTGGTTGGGTTTAAGCATGTAATTCACTGGGGTTATCAATGAGGCTTCAACTGCTGCAATGATGAAGGTTGGGCTATAAGGCCCAGACTGTAAGGCCTCAAAGGATGCATCTTAGGGAGCTTAACAGGAAGCAAGCGCGTAATAAAGCCAGCCTCAATGGGTATGCATATCATCATTTCCATCATAGGTCGGTACAGTCATTGGTGGTTATGTACAGAAGTACAATCTGCTGCAATCCAATACGTCGTCACATCTACCTTCACAAACTCATTATGTGCAGCTTTTGGTGCAATTTGTAGATACGTACGGATGCATTTAGTTGCATTAAACCGCACACGTGTGTCCAAGCATATGGGGCCGTACGTCTTGTCATCAATTGTAAAAAGTATGATTTTAAAATATGCACACATTTAAAAGATGATATGCTTCCGTCTCAGTTTATTATAATAGAAATGAAATATTATTGGCTTCTGCTTATCCATGGCCGAGTGTTCCAGACGCCACCCTCCCCAGTTGTCATTGCTAATAGTAATCATGACACTAGTATTTCTCAGGGGTTATGGTTTCTGCAAAGTGTCTGGTGTTTATGACAGAATGAGCCTGGATCTACACTTAAGTGGTGTATCTTTCTCTTTCATCAAACAAGTCAAAAGCGAGACATGTGAAGAGTTAAGTAAGTTCACCGCCACTATCCACAAGTGGCACTTCAACTCTTCTGTGGAAAGATTATACAGGTAGAAGATCTCCATCGCAGGTAATAAGATCTTTTGAAAAAAAAAAAGGTTGTGCATTATATCAAACTTATACAACATAGTCCTGTGTTGAAAGTCGATGAAGCAGAGTTGTTTTTGAGTATAGTTTAAACAGACTATCCATTGCTTTAAGAAAGCTCCTTTTCTTTTTAACTATATCCCAAACTATAAAACCGTAACGTTTTGGGTAACTATGACCGTGCATACAATGGCCCCTCTGCCAGCTCTTCATCCTTTCTACTGCTAACTGGTATCATTTGTTTTCTGGCTGCTCACTGATGAATCTTTTATCATCACTGCTCACCTTTGCATTTGAATCGAATGCCTGTGGCTGTGGCTCCTCGCGGTTAGGGAATTCATTCTCCATCTTTATCTAAAGTGCTGTTTCGACACTTCGCCGCGTCTAAAGCTTTAAAATGCGCTCTGATCCCTCTGATCAACTCATGAAAAGTCACCAAGAAGAGAGACCAGCAGCGTAGAAAAGTAGCTGACTGCAGTTCATTCTTATGAAGACTGTAACGTGTAATGAGGGTAGACAGAGGCGTGAAAGGGAGACGAAGAAGGGAGGGCACAGAGAAGAAGGGGAAGCAGTGCAAGGGAGAAAGAAATGGTGAACAGATTGAAGAAGGACATTTACCTTCAATGTGAAGAATGTGTGGTATTCTTTGTGCGCGATGCCTCTTGCATGCAAGTCTCTGTTTTAAATCATAATTTCTTTTATCCAACAACACCAGCGTCTCAGATTGTAGATGATTTTGCTGGCAGAGTAAACATGAGAGGAAAGGGGGGGGGGGCTCCATAGGATGAGGGTGTAACCTATTTATTGTCAAAACAGGCTGAAAAAAATGACAGAGCGCCCACCGAGCCTGACAGATATAGTGCCCTGTACATGGAAAAGGGGGGAGAGACCAATGGAAGGGGATGGGAGGAGGGAGAAGGGACAAGAGGCTGTTGTGAGGCTTCTTTTGTTCTTTTCTTTTGACTCGGTTGTGTGTCTGTGTTGTGCGGTCTCCAGGGAATACCAATCCTCTTCGGTCTCTGCATGAGCCGAGTCGCCTTCTCCTGCAGCCCGCGCATCACTCAGTGTGGACGGGTGTCGTTATGTGCGTGTGCCAATGCACACGTTGCGAATAAGACAGCATGATATTGGAGAGGCATAATCACGTTTCTCTTTTGGCAAAACTCCTCTCCTCTATCCCTCCAACACTTATCCCTCCCCCATCTCTCCATCCTCCCTCATCTTCTCTGTCTTTCTCATATTGTTATTTCAATTTCACACGCGAGTGAGCAGATCTAAATGACCAGCAGAAAGAAAGACAAACAGGCAAGAATAAAAGGACTTGGTGACTCACATACGTTGATATCAACACACAATGACCACTCCCAGCTGTCCATAAACAAATACACACTCACGACAAGCAAAGGAGAAGAAAGGAGGACAAAAAAAGTAAAATTGAAGGTAAGAAGGACAATATGGATAGACGGATTGAAGACTTACCACTTGTCCATTCTGGGGATTTTTGTGGGCGTAGGGAGGACCTCGGATGTGATTCCACATCTGACCAGATGTCATCGCAAAAACGACACACTATCAGAGAGAGAGAGAGAGAGACAGAGAGAGAGAATTAAGGAAATGCTTTCAACATCCTCCTGATTTTTGGATGAAAATTCTATTAATGAGCCGAGATTCCTTCACTCATTTGGTTTCCGGAGCAGTTTGACTTGACTTACAGGACGTCTGTGACTAGTAAAGGTGGAGGCTTTTGGAAGAGCATGCTCAGTATTTAACGTGTGTGTGTGTGTGTGTGTGTGTCATACCAGTGCAGCCATAGCCCATCCAGTCTTGTTGTATATGAATTCCAAGTTGTTCCTCCTCAGATACAACAGACCTCCAACGAGGGACACCAGCAGAGCCAAAGCAATGGTGCCTGAATAATTAGGAGGGCGGAAGACACGGATCTGCAGGGATGCAGATGAGGATCACATCAATTTTACACATCTTTAATAACTGTATATGTCCAATTCTATGAATATACTTTGTTCCTGTGGCTCAATGATGGAATAAAAATGAGAAAATATTCCATTAGTCTTTGTATCTATTGATGCTGTCGGGGGATAATATATAGTAACACAAAACATGATATAATGACTTTAAAATACTTTTTTCAACTGTTTTAAAAATCAGAAACCATTGTGTAAAACTGGAATGTGTTTATTCAGTAATAAGAAGACAAAAAAGATTTAGAAAAAAACACACACAAATAAAATTTAAAAACTAAAACAACCATAGCTTTTGTTGTATTACTTTTTCTTCTCACTCTCGCTCCCCCTTGGTCTGCGTGTGGGGCCACAAAGCCAAACGGACAACCTGCTGTTTGCTATGAACAGATGTGAGGGGAAAATGTTCCAATACACTACACATGTGTGTCACCCACACCAATTGGGTCACCAATGAAAATGCCTCCACCATCTGCTGCTGAGTGTTATTGAATAAAAACTTCAAAAAGGCAGAACTTGGGAAGAAAATGTGAAAGAAAAGGAGATTTGGTGAAAGGCTCTGCCGCACACTGTACGAGTCAGCAGCCCAGCCTGACATTAGGAAATGCAAAATGTTGTGATCCACGACCCTGGCAGCCGCCAGCGTGCCTCAAAAAGCTGCGCGCAGCTAGAAGGAAACACTGTAAGAATCGTTTTTTGAAGGTTAATGCTCATTTCCATTGACCCTCAATTTAGAATGGAAATCTTATAATTCCCTAATAGGTCGCACATGTGAGCACGAAGTTCTCTAAAAGACTTTCTTTGGGCTTCCTCCATCACAGTCTATTGGATATCGGCCCTTTTGCCTTTGCGCTTCTGTTGTTATTTCATGTGGTCAAGTGCCTGACTGCTGGCCCTTTGTGTAAGTATTTGAATCCAGATCCATCCAGATCCATCAGCCGGATGTCAGCAGGATGCCTGAGCTCATTCTGATGGTCCTCAGCTGACAGGTTTTACGGTAAAGAAGAAATTGTGGCCTGACGCTCAAAGGTTACAGACAACTTGAGCCTCTAACGGCCTCCTGTGAACGCAGTGTTTCCGATGCCGCGGTCAGCATGGCATCCGCCCTCACACAGACTGAGGATTGGCTTTTTAAAAACAGTACTCCATAGATTTAGTGTTGCACGCCGCTGACATGCAGCAGCGCCACCCCCCCCTCGGCCGGTGAAGTGGCTTTGATGTTTAAACTCGGTGGAGATTCCTTTAAAGGGAAGCGTGACGGCTGACCATGAAACGGCGCTGCCGCCTACGCATCCCTGCCAAGACCACCTTAAAAAGGTGCATCTCAGTTCATTGGAGGAGAAAGGAGCCAAGCAACCCTGTGACAAAGACTTTATTCTTGTTCATCAAATCAGCAATAAACTATATATTTTTTAAATATTGATCCTTAAAGTCAGGGGAACTGTAACGCTACAATGATTTTCATGAGCACTGTATATATTTATGACAGATCAACGCCTCAAAATGCACAATTTCACAAGAAAACATAATAGACTTTTTCATATTTGTTGAATATTACAGCTTAACTAAGATTTCAGTTTGACAAAAGGTCCTGAATATAAATCTCGGTAAGTGGGAGTCAGCAGGTCGATGTGCGCCGGTGGAAACCCGGCAGATGTTTTGGTGATCGACTTGTTTGCACTACTTAAGCCGATATAATCAATTAGCAATATAGCGGTCTATAAAAGTAATGGAGCAACACAATGAATGTATGGGGACCGGTCAGTAAGACTGAACAATGATATATACAGACCCCAAAAGGCACACATATTAAGTCTCTCCTAGTCTCTATAATGGGTGCAAATGAATATGCATGACCACATACATCTAGCAATACACACATATTGATTATACACCTACACACAGCTCAACAGCAAACTAAGAAAACAGAGCAGAGAGAGATGGAGTCTCATTCTTAAGACCTGATGACACTTGGTGGCCTCTGCAGCGGGACACCTACAGGGCATCTATTGCAGCCACGGAGTAACTTCGTGGTTCACGTTGAACCTTGCTATTCTTTGGAAAACAATCTCACTGATATTTTTGACGTAAAAAATAGCTCAAAATAATATGCACATGTGAACTACATTGGGCTTGTGTGCACCAACCAGAGAGCTTTTCCATACCTGAACATCTGTGCGGTCTGCGATCCACTTGGCCAGCTGCTCCGAAGCAAAGCCGATCCTTTGCAGGTCAAACGTATCGGCTCTCTTGGGCTTTCCCTTGGCCGGGAAGTGCATGAAGGTTGGAGCGCTGTTCATGTTCAACTAGACAGGAAGAGGAAGAGGAGGTTTGGGGCATGTTGAATTAATGTCATCTCTGAACGCACATATCATCCAAAGATAAAGACACACCGTTGCTCATCAAAGGTTAACCAACGAGTGATGCAGGTTCAACTCTCGGCTGGTTGGCATCATGTGTCAGTGAGTTTTCAGCCTACTTTTGTAATATCTGACTGGCAGTGTGCTTTTCTTTGTTGTTCTCACTTTTCTTTAAAGTTTTCTTAGTAGGCTGCTAAGATGAATGATGAGAAATGTCTTTGTGTAAGTATTTGATTCCAGATCCATCCAGATCCATCAGCCGGATGTCAGCAGGATGCCTGAGCTCATTCTGACGCTCCTCAGCTGACAGGTTTTACGGTGAAGAAGAAATTGTGGCCTGACGCTCAAAGGTTACAGACAACTTGAGCCTCTAACGGCCTCCTGTGACACGCAGTGTTTCCGATGCCGCGGTCAGCATGGCATCCGCCCTCACACAGAACAAATATTTATTACTTTGCCTTTAGAATGAAGCCATTCTCCCATTGCCTTATTATAGTTATATATGCATTTTTTATAACTTTCTAACTAACTAACAATCCAATGAATACAAGTATTTCCCTGTTTTGCAAAAGGATATTTTTGTTATTCAGTTGGTTATAACATCCTACCAATGTCTGACCAGCTATAGTATATAGTACATTTTAACACTCGGAGAAAAGGGAAAAGAGCTCAGAAAGTAATTCACTTCTAATTCATTTTGGGGTTTTTCTAACGACATAACTGAAGTGGACAGAATTGTGAAAAGCAAAAAGCAAAATTGTTTAAAGCAGCATGTTGTACAATGCGTTAATGCTGCCTTCACTGGATTCAGTGGTCTAAAATAAATCAAGATAAAGGTAAAATACACAGAACAAGGCTATTTCCAACTGAGCAGATCTATTTAAAGTTCTAAGAGGATAACGTGTAGGATGAAAAGGACATCAGTATTTTGTAGCTTTTTTCAGTATTATGTTATCCAACATTTATGATATCATGGATGAACAGAGAAAAAAAGTTATATAGTTTTATAGTTACAAAAATATCTCTAAAGGGAATTGTACTTTGATAACACGTAACAATAAGACATACCTTACCAGTCTAAGGTTTGGACACATTTTCTCAAACCTTTAACTGGTGCTGTAGAGGGATTCTAAATAAAGCAATTATTTTTAAATATAGCATGATGGGATATTGTCATGTGGTTGTGGAATGGAAGCAGCTCCCTTTATAACAAACAAGCCCATTATGTGTGTGTATATTGTGAGATGTTCCTGAGCATTTAATTAGCTTTTTGGTTGTGTGCCTGCTTGTTTGTCCTTCTGCGCACTTGTTCCCATGTCTGTGTGTCAGTATCACATTGTGTACACGTACTCTCTGTGTATGTCCTTGCATGCTTTTGGCCTTGGCAGGAGGTTTTGGGTCATTGAGTCTTTCTCTATAAGGTTTGTGTGAGGTTGTGTTCAGAACTACAGCCACATTTCTGAAGCATCCACTAATTAAGAGGAATAACCTAGTGGGTGTATAAAAAAGGAAGTGACTGCGGGCCATATGTGGCAGTACGGTCTTTGACCACAGCAAAGGGGAAGAGGACGGGGGGGACGGGGGCCTTGGGGAAAGGCCGAGAGAAGCCACATTTCAAAGTGAGTTTTTTTGTTTCTCATTTTCTTTCTTCATCCAGCTTACCTTCAGCGTTTGGGGTAAATGAATGATAAAAATAATCCCACACTGACAGCAATTAGCCTTTGGAGTCAAAATATGTTTTTTTTCCTCGGTCTTGTAGCGTTGTTATATAAAACACAAAAAATAACAAGCCAGCACATATTGAACAACAAGCAACCAGGGACAATGGAGTTTTGAGAGGTGTGTAAATGTGTTTCATTAAAGCTGTGGCTTGGGCGATTATGAGGGACCAACATAATGTTAGAGAACAAAAGAGGGCCGTTATGTACAGGGAAGAGAGATGAGGAGGGATTGAAGACGACTGTAAGGCTACAAGCTGCAAATTGCAGTGGCTTTGGGTAAATAGTATCATTTAATGCAGTTAAAGTGATTTTATTATTATTTATTAATATAATTATAATAAGATTTAGTCTGTGGAAGAAAAACTAACTTTTAAGCACAATTAATGAATTTCAAAATGTGTAATTAATTACTTATTTTTTATTAATCTATTGACAGCCCTAGTGAATACATTTGGAAGTAGTACATAGTAAAATAGAGTAAATAAGTCACCTGCTGGAAAACATCAGCTCCCTCATCGTAGTCCACTACGGTGAAGAAGAGCTTGTTGGAAAATGCCGATGAATAACGCCACGAGTTTGCCAGGACCTGATACTCCTCGTTCGCCTGCCTAGAAGACGGAACGAGAAATAAAGAACAGATTAAGAGAAGGAGAACGTTCACTAGATCCTTCGGTCTCCGCCCCACCGTGACTTTTCTATGGTACGCTTTCATTACTCTCGTCCCTGAAACTCATTTGTCATTTTCTTTTCTGTTATGCTCAAACGCAGGCTACTTGAGGCGTTATTTTTACCCGCCATGGTCGGTCCAGTCCATCCCCTTATCCTCCTACATGACAAGATAAAGACCAAAATTCCCAGAGGCAGTCTCACGTTTCTATTATCTCTCTCCCTCTCCCTCGCCTCGGACATTAGCTATACGTCCCTTTCCATCTGCTAAAGTTCTCTTTGACATAGTGTCTTACGTCAACAGGCTCTAATTATTTAGGAAATTGTCTGTCAGGATGCGTTATGTGCGGCGGTGTTACATTGTTATCTCTGCGGCTAACGTAACGTCGCTTTGAGGTGTCTTCCGTTTCAAACGCTCGCCGGAGATGAAGTTGAGAATCAGGCCAGTAGGTACAGTGGGAATCATCTTTCTTCCCCCGTCTCAGCGGTAAACGCATATTTGCTGGAGTGGTCACCGTGTCAGAGATATGGTTTTAACTGCCCTACATACATACATACATACATACATGTATGCTCGCTTGTCATGATGCACGCTACTTGACTTACTTTCCTTAATCTGCATCTAATGCTGTTTTCTCCAACAACACGGACTGATCATTGGGTTTGTGTTGAATGGGATGTCAAATGTCTAAAAAGACAATGTGATAACATTTGATTTTCTGTCTGTTTATTTGTGTCTTATCAATTTGAGCATAACAACCAACCATTTTAATAAAATAAGAACCTGGACAGGGGTCACTCTCTCTGCACCAGCAGAGAAGACGCAGTTTAATGTATATTTAAAGGCAAGTGACTGATTAAACAATCAAAGGGAGGAAAGAGTCAAGAGTGTTTCGTTTTACTTGCCTTTAAAAAAAAAAAAACACCTGTTGTGGTCACGTGACCATTTCAACGTGTGTAGGAATACTGGAAAATCGATATGCTGACAAATTGCCGAGCTGGGATAACTACGTACTGTGGACCCGGGGCAAAGCTGAAGAGTGATGTGGTCCTGAGGACCTCAGTGATTAGCTGTCTTTTCACTGCCGGATAGTTCTCGTAACGCAGTGACACAAGTCACCACCTGACATTCATCCATTACTCCAACTCCTCCTCCGCTCATTTTTTCTAATGACCACAAACAATCAAATAAGCTGATGGGGAAAAAAAAACATAAGAGAAATCAGACAGTTGAAAATAGAAAAATAATCAAACAAAGGAATAAGGGGCAATGAGATTACTGATTACATCAGACAATTTCATGCAGACAAGAAGTTTATCTTTGTTAGGACAGAGAGAAATTTCTTGAGATAAATAGATAAACCAGGAATGCTTGTGTATATGTGTGTGTGTGTGTCGGGGGGGGGGCGCTTGTTTGTATGCATTGTGCAACATAGCAAACTTGGCATTGGCAGAGAAATTAAAGGGATACTGAGAGAGAGACTGTCTGTGCTTAACTACTGTGACAGCAACATGTAAATCCTTCCATTCTAGGAAAACGAAAAACACGTTTATATACAACAAGTAAACTCTGGCCAAATGGCCACAAGAATGGCCAATGTGGACAGACTGACTCTAGGACACAACGCCACTGGCCATAGCATGAAGAGAGAGAGGGACACACACACACACACACACACACACACACACAGAGGGGGGTGTTTGACATGAGTGATGACGTATCTAATCAAGTGGCTGATGAAGTGGAAGTGCGACTGATTTGAAGGTCGATCTTGATTTCATCAGCTAGCTGGACATCTCCTGTGACACGGGGACACGGGTCAGCTCCCCGGTTTATACAGCAGACAATAGGCGCTGAAGACCTACCACTAACTCCTCCAGACCACACCATTCAGATCCCATATTCTGTGTGATAAACTTCAATTAGGCCACATTAGGCCAGCCAGGTTTTCACATTAGTAATTTTTTGATAAAGGAATAAACCACCCAAACCTGAGTTATCAAAAGACACAAAGCTAGGAAAATAATAATTGAGTGATTTGTGGGAAAATACAAGCAATCACTTCAGACCGCCCACCGCCTTCAGTTGGAACTCTGTCCATTCACAGTAAAAGCACTCCACAAGGGCATAAATATGATTGCAAAAAAGACATCAGCGGCAAGAATGCAGTGAAAAGCAATCAAAGCATGCGAGAAACATAAAAATAAAGGACAACGCTGACTGCAATTTACGTTACCCAGAGAAAAGCTTCACATAAATAACAACTTTGTTGATGTGTGTAATCCCAATACGAGCTTCCCCACATTTCCCCTCTTGAGATGCAGTGTCTCCAACAAATACACAAAGTACATCTAAATAACAACTCCATATTCACCCCTTCGTTTACCACGGCTCAGAGTGCAGCAGTGGGTCTGGATCAAATTTGACCAGAGAGAAAACCTGTGCGTCATTGGCATGAAATGCACTAGTGGAGAGACAATGATCTGAGAAAAGCTGCAGACCAAGAACTGGTTCTCATGGCTGCGCGATCCAAAGGAGCTTACAGGAGAACGGGCCATCTGCTTGCTCGCTGGTGCAGAGCTGTCCATGGTGCTGAAATACTGGGATTCTCTGGGAGTTTGAAACCTAAACTAAAGAGTCTTGTTTTAGCATGTTTGGCTTGTCCGTGCCCTATTGCTAGTTTGCTGCAAATATGAGGCAGATCTGGTTTTGTAAATAGAATCCTATATAAAGCTCACTCTTAGGATAAAAAAAAGAAATATCCTCATGCATTAAATGCTTTGAGTTCTCAATCAGGTAAGTAGGTCTTGTTCTGTTGAATTTATTCATTCCCTTTAGTAATGCAGCCAGCTGAGGTCCCTTTGATCCAAATGTCAACGTGACCCAAAGGTTTTTATTATGCAATGCGGTTTTCTGTGTCTCCCAAGGTGGATGAATCTATATGCGTACGTGGAAGAAGGGCCCATGAATTACCAGATGAGTTCTAGAACATTTCATGCTTGTGTGGCTGCGTTTGCATAAACTTCAGCGCACTTCGAAACCAAAGTGAAGGTAGTATGATGACCCCTACAGTCTGGCTGACGACCTAAATGTTTCCTACTGCAGGTTCGATCAACCTATTTTCACACCACTCCATCACTCCAAACGATTCTATCTCAGCTCTCTCAGCTGACTCCCCACCTGCACCGAGGATCTGCAAAGTGGATGTTAGTGGGCTCCTTCACAGACTAAAGATCAGGAAGGCTCCGGGCGCAGATGCTGTGCCGCCTTGCTTCCTTAGAGGCTGTGCTGACCAGCGGGACACCAATTTCACACTGATCTTTAACCGATGGCTGGAGCTGTGTCAAGTCCCCTCGTGCTTCAAACGCTCCCCCATCACCCCGGTAAATAATCCTCCATCACAGGATTTAATGACCACAGGCCCGTGGCCCTGACATCTGTGGTCTTGAAATCCTTGGAGAAGCTGGTGTTGACCCACCTGAAGAACATCACAGGGCCCCTGATGGACGTCCTGCAGTTTGCTTGCCGGGCAAACAGGTCAGTGGATGATGGAGTCAACGTGGGACGGCACCACGTGCTACGTCACCTCCACTCCCCAGGGACATGTGCAAGGGTTCTGTTTGCTGACCCAAACGCTGCGTTCAACACCATCATCCCGGGTTACTTGAGACCAAACTGTCCCACCTAACTGTGCCAGCCTCCACCTGTCAGTGGATCACCAACTTCAACAAAAAATCCCCTCCATCAGCCGGACTATCAACACCACTCGTTTGTGTACTCTCCCCACTGCTCCTCAGAGGACCCAACTGTTAAACCCCCGACGCCTGCAGACACGGCGGTCGTCGTCCTCGTCAGGGACGGGGACGAGTCTGCCTACGGACGGCTCTGCAGAGACCAACAGACACAGCATGCACGGCCAATAAAGCTGATTCTGATGATTATAGATCGTAGATGGTGGATCACGGCCTATGGAAGCTGCATCTGTCTAGACGTAGAGTGTGTGTGTGTGTGTGTGTGTGTGTGTGCGTGTGCGTGCCTACCTGCAGACCGAACACTGCCTTTGAGGCTGCAGGGCGGTGAACATGACGATGACGGAGTAGTTTCTGGGTGGGGCCTTGACGAAGCGACGGAATTTGTCCCCGTTCATCCGGACGACCGAACGCCGAGAGGACCACTCCATCATCTGTTCAACCTTCTCTGACAGCATGTTCTGAGGACACAGACAGGGAAAAGGGCAAGGGAGACATTGCATCTTGTTAGATAGTCACCAACGCTGAGCAGCAGCAGGATAAAAAAAAAAAAGGTAATTTGAATGATTTCAATGTTAAAAACATTGGAACGCACATTAACTGAAGCACTGCACTTCAGTGCATCTTGGAGCTACGTATACTTTAATGAGAATTCTTCATGTTATGCCACTTTATACCAAATAGATATTTCCTACTCAAGTCCCTGATCTGACAAAACCTCTCAAACGTCTGTCCAATAAAATATAAATATAATACATAAAAGATTACTATCTACATATTATGTGATGTTGCAATCTAATTTCACCTTGAAAGAAAGAATCACAAATATATAGCGTAATATACTGATGTGTGGTGGAAATTTGTGGATTAAGCCCTTGCGAGAAATGAAAAGTATCTCAAACTCGCTTCTAATTAATTTATTACTAACTAGAATATAGAAAAATCTGAATACAGAAATCATCAACAGAACCCGTAAGTACAGACAGGAGTCAAATGAATTTAGCTAAAAAAGAACAAAATGTTCTTTCTCCCTCAGAGGAGCAGGAAGATCTGACAAAGCTTCTTGGGGAGAACAGGAGCCTTTATACACTTCGGAGAGGTTTGTGTTTGTCCAATCAGAAGACCCCGCTGGGAAAGGAGTGTCAGAAGGAAACACAGACACCCGTGACCCTCCCTTAATGTCACCCAGGCAACCATGTTTTGACAGACAGAAGGAAAGACAACAAATGATCAAGGCACCAAATGGATGCCACCGTGGACGAGGTTAGGTCACAGGTTTCCCAACAACGGTCACACACACACACACACACACACACAGTTCCCGAGAGACTCACAATACGCAGATCAACAAATTCTCCCCCAACAATGAGCCCTTTTACGTTTGATATTTTAAGTAGTAGTTTTCTTTTATAACTTTCTCTGAATCCAGAACTCTCCCTTGTCTTTTAATTATCTTACTTTGGTAGAAGAAGCTTCCTCCACCACCACGACTCACAGCGGACACAAGCCCGTATGGAGAAATTGACATTCTGGTACACTCCAATGAAATGGCCCATTTGTACTGCCAAAAATGTCACCTTGGTTTAAAATGGGCAGTGTCTCTTCAGACTGCGACATTGGAAACATCCCGTGACGAGGGGGCGAGCGGCGCCGACCCTGCTGGCTGCTCTGGAAGTCACAGCGTGAGACACGGCGAGGTGTGGCTTCATGCGCGTTACAGAATCTGAACGTTAACAGCTTTGACGTCTGGCCTGTTTTGAATAATGGGATGCACACAAAAAAACAAGGGCAACTGTCATTAACAGGGAAAAACGGAGACCTGACAGTTCTCGATGATGATTAAATCCAGCCGGGCTCAGAAAGGCTACGACTACAACTCCTCCACCACCACCACCACACAGCAGCTGGTGCCATCCCACGATCCTGAAGCCGAAATGCTGAGGAGAGCAAACAGATATGGTGGGGGACGGTCCCCCCTTTAAATGGGCTGCATGATTGGGTCAGCGCTGCTCAGTACCTACCGGCATCGTCTTTCCCCATCTCCAGCTCTGAACTCATGACTGTGAAGAAACACAAGGGACTGCTGATGAGGTGCTGGGTGCTTTCATTCTGCTGATCACGCTGCTACTAATCACCTCTGTATGAGAGGCATATTTTATCATTTCAGCATAAAGGGTTCTGCGAGCTAGACGGAGGTAAATCTACGGCGAGGGTTTGCCGCGCACGTCTCACAAAGGACTTGTCCGTCATCTCTGCCACGGAGGTTTCTGAAGGCTTTTGGTAAAGAAATACCTTTCAGTTCAATCTAGCTGTGTTGTTCTTCTTGTTTTTACTCAAAGAGCACTGCGGTCGGATATTAATTTCACGCTTTGAGCGGAATGATTTTAATCAACCCATTGTATTAGTAGCTTTAACTTCTGTCTGATGGATCTGCACTAAGCAGCTTGTCCCGCCCAATCAGAAAAGCAGTTTGTCTGGGAAAACATGAAATGTATTAACAACCCCCGGCTAAAACGGAACGAATGAAGCATGAATACCTGCCTTCAACAGCCAATTCATTAGCTAATGCCATATGAATCGGCTAAAATGTCACAACAGATTGAGCGCATTTTAAAAGTTTGGGGGGGGGATGCACTTGAAACCAGAAAAAAAGCCCCCTTTGCCAATCTCCAAACTGCAGATGAGCAGGAGGTGGGGGGGGGGCGGCATCAAGGTGGTAGCATCCCTCTTTCTACTCAGCAGTTTGCTAGTGTGGGCTCAAGAAGGCAGAAGCTAAATAATTTAGAAGTGCGTCTCACTCCTACTACTAATCAGGCACAGCACCTCACACACACACACACACACACACACACACACACACACACACACACACACACACACACACACACTTGGCTTCAGACACAAAGCACAGCTGTAGACTAATTCTCTCAAGTAAACTATCTGGAGAGAGGATTGCCAAAGAAAAACAAAAATGAAGATGTGAAGAGGAGAAAAGGAGAGAGAGACTCACAATAGTGTGTAATGTGCTCCTTCTGTACTGCTTGTTCACTTCAGACAACGCAATGCACAACCAGCGTTAATGAGAGGTGAGAATTATTATGAGAAGCAACCAAAGCAACACACACACACACACACTGTGCACGTCCAGGGGAGCTTCAAATGGCCTGCACACTTTAACGTATCTATAGCAAGCTTTTGCTTGTGTGCCTTCAGCCTCAAAAGCAGAGCCGTTAGTCCTGGATGTCAATCATACGAGCAATAATGATGCACTTCCTTAATAATGTTCCACACGCATGCAACAATGGGTGTGTGTGGGGGGGGGAGGCACTTTTACGATTATACCAGTGATGTTAAAAATGTATCTTGTTATCCAAAGTTGAGATTCATTCATATTTTTTATATATTCTGTAATAACTATGCCTTTGATACTTACTAGATTGTCGTTTGATCTGATGTCATTATGAAAATAACTTGTTCAAAACTAAGCTGAACCAGGGCGCCCTCCGTCTGAAAAGCCGCTCCTTTTAACTCATTTTCTCTCTAATTAACAAGACTCAACAGTCAGAGGTTTTTTGTGTCATTCTCTCTGCTTTTTTGTTCTCCTTTAAACAAACGTCTCACACGATGCCGCGTACACGAGAAAAACATGTTGAATCTTAGAGCCAGAATAAAACTTCTCAATAATATCCATCCTCGTCAAACAGAGGAAAGTAGAAGAGGTCACTCTTTGTTTAAGGTCAATGGAGGCCATTGGGGAGTACACATCTATTATTAGTCACAAAATGATGCCTGTGAACTACCAAGCACCTGTTATGGCTTCCTACTCGGTGTGAGCCACACACACACACACACACACACACACACACTCCAAAAGGCCTAGGACCATTAAAAACATTTATTTCCTACCCCACTGAGCACATAGGGCACTTATATGAATCCCATGTAGTGTGTGTGTGTGTGTGTGTGTGTGTGTGTGTGTGTGTGTGTGTGTGTGTGTGTGTGTGTGTGTGAATAAGATGCAAAAATGGAGTGCGGATATCCTGATTTATCCATCTGTTTTTCTGTTACTCTCTGTATGTCGTAACCTGACTCTCTCTCACACACACAAACACACACACATACACACAAACACAATAGGGCATGGGTTTGCAGCAGACTGTATCAGAAGCACTGAACTGTGGTCTAAATGCCTTTCCAGATCTCCGTGTTCCCTTCCTCTCGTTCTCCTTTCTCGGGGTACGAATCCTCCTGTTTTTTCTTTTTCTCTCTCAAGTGTCTTTTCAGCAGCTCTGTGTCTCTTCCACATGGCTCGCAAGTCACGGCGGCAACCCTCAGAACCTCCAATCGATGCATGGTGAGAGTAACAGGCTGAACAAACAAAGAGAAAATGACTTTTTGAGGTGAAACACAGAGAAGGAGCTGATGAGATCCTCAGAAGTCGAGTAGCGAAAAACAGACAAAGAGTTGAAGGGAAAACTAGAAAACTGAGCGAGGGATACCGGCAGAGAGAGGAAAAAGGAATGATGGGGAGAGTAAAAATACGAGACGTGGAGATGACACACGGGTTGTGAGGCAGGGCTGACTCACGCACTGATGACCACGCGGCGAGGGGCTACGCAGGGCTAGTTCATCAGGCAGGTTCACTCGAGACCTGTCAGCCCAGCAGCTCCTCAGCCGCTCGGCTGACCACGCAGTCAGTCTGTCTGCTGCTACGAGGCGGAAAACTTCCGGGCCCACGCCGGACCGTGGAAGTAACTCGGCTGGATCTTTACAATAGCAAGTGGTTGGCAGTGATGATGCCCCGCATCCTGTATGTAAATATATAGGGTGGGAGGAGTATGAGGGGGGGGTCGAAGCGTTGGAGGTGATGATGCTGGAGGTTTGATCCTGCGGACCTTCCACATGACAAGCCAACAGCATTTGTTAGCAGCACAATCCCCGGCTCAGAGCGCTCTAATCAGAGGTCCTTTGTCAGTGAATGAGCTTTGGCTTCAGCCATCACGCTCCTAAACTTCCTCCAATTCTCCATTGAAAGGGAGGTGGGGGGGGGGGATTAGGGGAAATTGGCTCGGTATGACAAGGAACAAAGCCTCATCTCTCAACCTCTCTCTCTCTCTCACATACACACACACAAAGTACAGTCGAATAGAACAGTCCGTTTGATGCCACTGTGACTTTACTGCAATTACTGCATCACAATTACCGTTATAAGTTATTTACATTTCACAAAACTGAACTTACATCCACGCTGCATAAACAATAATCAGAAAATTCCCTCGGTGTCACTGATTGCTCTCAACTAACATTTAGATGCTGTTAACATCCTATGAAACTATAGTACATGATTTAAAGTTGTCTGTCACTATGGCGATGTCACTGCCTGTACGGCTCTCTGTGTGCGGGTAGGGGGGCATTAAGATGTTACTTCAGCGCTTCGTAGAGCCTGGCCACTAAACCGCCA